AGGACTTCTGCATCAAAAAACTATGTCTCTACCCAGAAGAACTTGATGAGGGGTTTTTATAAGAGGGGGTTTCAAAGGTGGGATCTCTGACAAAAGTAGGGTGTAAGCAGGGTTTATACCACCTTAATTTTGTCTCAGGTGGTCAGTCTCCTAATCTCTATGAGCTTCTCTGGTCCCTTTAATTTTGCTTCCTGTGGTTTCTTGGCTGCCTCTCCCTTGATTGTAGAGGTTTAGTAGCTAAGTTGTACCTCACTCTTTTCGAAACCATGGACTAGCCTGCCAGGCTCCTCTGTCCATATGTGATTTTCCAGGCAAGCAAGTGGGAGTGGTTTGCCATTTCCTTCTCCAGGGGATATTTCCAACCCAGGGATCAAACCCAGGTCTCCTGCATTGTAGGCAGATTCTTTACCAACTGAGACATCTGAGAAGCCCTTGATCAGAATTGTTCAAATCTGCCCTTTGAAACTCAGGGAAAATTATGCCTGGAGTCTTGCCTACAAGAAATGGGGGATAGAAAGACCTCATGCTTGGAAGTCCCACAGGGCTCCACTTGGTTTCAGTATTAGAAACCAAGGATAATGATTCATTAAGTTTTAGGGACTCTAAGGTTGAAAAAGAATAAGAAAAGCCTTTTATGACATTAAAAATTAACTTAGGTTGAGTTTTACAATGTGTCACAAAGATATGGGTTTCAAGAGATGTATCCTACTTAATATTAACAATCTGATTGTCCATTTTAGTAAGTTTCCCAACTTTTCTTTTTTTATTCAAGTTGCTTGGCAAGGTATTCTAATAACCAGCTTCTCAAATTGGATCTCCTCTCCACTCATCTCCCAAATACCATCCTCTCCCACAAAAACCTACTCCAGTTCTCAAAGATGATGGGAGAAAAGTGTTTCTTTGAAGCTGGATATTTCACAGTAAAATTTAAATTTAAGGAAGGCAGTTTAAATTCAGTTCCTTGGTAATAGGAAATGTGCATTGCACACGCTTAGAATGCAAATGGAAGTGAGTTGGGGGAAGGGTATGTATTTGATGTATTTGAAACTACATCCCTCAAATTAAATACAATGAAACAGGAGTAAAATTTTTGTTTGTAGCTAGGAGTTTAAGTTACGTGATTTTTTAATGATGAAGTTAGTTAGTTGCTCAGTCATGTCTGCCTCTTTGCAACCCCATGGACTGTAGCCCACCTGGTTCCTCTGTCCATGGAATTCTCCAGGCAAGAATATTAGAGTGGGTTGTGATTTCCTTCTCCAGGGGATCTTCCCGACCCAGGGAGTAAACCTAGGTCTCCTGCTTTGCAGGCAGATTCTTTACCTTCTGAGCCACCAAGGAACTCTTTAAAGATAAAAGTCAACAGTAACTTCACCTATTGTAGGGGGAAAAGGCAGGTCAAATTAAGAGAACTGAATTGAATCCGAACAACAGATGCAAGACTTCTGATGTCTCTATCACTCTCTACTAAAAGGCAAAATGCCGTAGGGCAAATACCCAGGTAACAGCAGAGCTCACCTGTTTCAGAAGTCAGTCTGCTCCTACCCAAACCTGGCATCTGGATAAAAACCTGGGGGTACTAAACTGCCCTGATAGACCTCTGTAGAGCCAAGGGCCTACTTGACCAGGCTTAGGATGGCGTGATTTCAAGCACACCAAAAAGGGAGAGGAGGAGGAATTTTTCACCCTGACGATTTGGGGAATGTCTGGGGTAAAAGAGACTGTCGCCTAGTACCTGTTACACAGTTCGACTCCTCAGTGGTTGCTACCTGTCCTATTCTTTCTGAAGTGGAGTAGGACCCTGTAGGGCCCCCCTGGGTACAAAAACCTTTCCACTTGCCTCTTGTTTTTAAGAAAAAGGTTTCAGCCTTCAAGATCTCTCTTGTGTTCCAAAGGGCAGACAGATGAAACAGTTAGCTGTTCAAACAGTTACTTGTTAAGGAAGCGAGGGGATGCATAAACAAAAGAAAGGCAGTAAAGGACTTCCCTGGTGCCTCAGTGGTAAAGAATCCGCCTGCCAGTGCAGAAGACACAGGTCTTCCCTGGTCCTGGAAGATCCCCCACGACAAGGAGCAACTAAGCCTATGCTCCACAACTACTGAGCCTGTTCTCTAGAGCCCAAGAGCCACAACTACTGAAGTCTGTGTGCCGTGCCCTGCAACAAGAGAAGCCGCTGCAGTAAGAAGCCTGCACACAGCAACCAGTGAGTAGTCTCCGCGAGCCAAAACTGGAGAAGAGCCCACACAGCAGCGAAGACCCAGCATAGCCAAAAATAATTTTAAACACTTATTTTAAAAGAAAAGCAGTCAAGAAACAACAGTACAGCAATGAAGCAGAGTCCCAGTTCCTCCCCAATGGGTATACGTAATATGCTGATATGAATCTTTGAGTTCTGCTATAGGAACTCAGCTCCCTTCCCGCCACCCCCAACCCCCAGCTCCACTCAGGTGGAAGATGGCTGAGCACGTTTCCTGGAACATCACCCTCTTACCTCACCACCACCCAACTAGAAGAAAGTCACAGGCCCCCGCAGCCCTTACTTGGTCTTTAAAGACTTCCCTAAGAGAATTCCTCAAGGATCCAGGGGCTTGCACTGCTGAAGGCCCAGGTTCAATTCAATCCCTGATCCAAAAACTAAGATCCTACAAGCCCCACAGAACAGCAAAAAATTAATTAAAAACCAAAACATAACAAAACCTCTTCCCTGAAAACCATCAGACAGTTCAGTTTTCTGAGCAGGAGCTATGCTGACCTCCTTGGCTGGTGTTTGCAAAACCTTTGCTCTAAACTCCAGTTTTAGTTTCTTTGGCCTCACTATGTCTCAGGCACACTAACTTGGGCTCAACACTGTGTCTCTGCTGATCTCATTTAATACCTGTGCTAAGCAAAATAATGCTCTCCCCCAAAGATGACTGTGTTCTAATCTCCACAACCTGTGAAAATACTAGTTTACACCAAAGGACAACTAAGGTTGCTAATCAGCTGACCTTGAGATGTAAGAATGATCTGGGTGGAGCCAAAGCACTCTCAAGGGATTATTAAAAGATAAACAGGCATCCAAAACCTAAGTTTAAGCAAAAATCTATCCAAAAAGGGCAGCACCAAACTGGAAGTGGTTAGTAGCATTCTAGGAGCCAAGGGACTTTATAAAGTGTGGAAGCAAAGAAAGGAAATTACTTGATTGGCTGTAGGTTAAAGACTAATTGGTGGTTTGATTGTTGTCCTTAAGTATACAATACAGTATTTTCAACTGTAGATGCAACACTGTACTGATATCTCTTACATGTTACACAACTGAAACTTTATACTAGTTGGTTAAATGTTTTGTCTTAAACCATTAAGTTTGTGGTAAATTGTTAGAATGGCAACACAGAACTAATACAGTACCTAATCCAGTTAAGTCTAACCTGAACTGCAGTTCGTTTCAAAAACTCAAATGTTGGTCTTCTCACTCTCTCCCAGCCGGAGGGTTCTCCCCCTGAAAGCCCCCATTCCCCACCTACCATTTCTATAACAACAGCAACTCTGTCCTCTCCTCTTCCCAGTTCCCAGAAAAACCTAGGGCTTACTACGAATTTATCAACTGTTAACTTGTCAAAAATTTAACCTCCTAACTCCTAGACCTCATCTTGTTCTTTTAACTGGGTGAAAGACGCTCAGTCGTGTCCCAGTCTTTGCGACTCTATCGCCTGTAGCCCGCCAGGCTTCTTCCTCCGTCCGTGGGAATTCTCCAGGCAAGAATACAGCAGCCCCTCCTCCAGCGGATCTTTCCAACCCAGGGAAAGAACCCAGGTCTCCCGCACTGGGGGGTAGATTCTTTGCCCTTGGAGCCACCAGGGAAGCCCAAGAATACTTGAGTGGGTAGCCTATCCTTTCTTCAGCTGATCTTCCCAACCCAGGAATCCAACCAGGGTCTCCTGCATTGCAGGTGGATTGTTTACCAGCTGAGCTATCAGGGAAGCCTATAAGTTAATTACTTCTGCCAATATTTCACAACTGTTAGGTCACTAATTGCTTCCTTTAGACAGCACGCGTTTAGGATTGTTTTTCCCTACTAACTCTTAAATGTTTGGGTATTTTACCCTTTTGCAAGGGTGGGGGTTTTCCTTGGAGGAAGGCTGCAACTGAATTAAGTGTTTGTATCAACAAGGTCTGGGAACCAACAATATTAACACTTTAAAGTGTTTTGGACTACACATGTCCAGGCCCTACCCAAAGCTGTCAAAGCATATTTCCTCACGTTAGAGTTTAGGAAACTTGTTAACAAGTTCCACCTCTGATTCCTTGGCATAGTAAAATGCGAGATCAAACCATAAGCCTATTATTACAGTTTAAAAAAGCATTTTCTGCCTTTCTCTTCATATTCTGAGCCCAGCTGTGTCCTCCTAGCAAGTGAGGATTGTGCTCAGTAGCTTAGTCGCAACCGACTCTTTGCGATCCAATGGACCGGCCCACCAGGTTCCTCTGTCCTTCGGATTTTCTGGGAGCGGGTTGCCACTTTCTTCTCCAGGAGAGCCTCACCACCCAGGGACGGAACCCGCGTCTCCTGCACTGGTAGGCAGATTCTTTACCGCGGAGCCTGTGAGGATCAGTCAGTCAAAATCTTCAGGCCGGAGTACAGAGCAACCTGGAGAAGTACACCAGCCCAACCCCCAACCCTACAGAGACGCCGGGAGGGCTGAGCTAGCGCCTGCACGCCAAGCAGGGGAGCCTCTCTACCCACATTTCCCATCCCCTGGGAAACCGGAATCCGCAATGTGGCCTTAGCGCTGACAGAACACTCCTAAAGACCGGAGGGAAACAACAGGAGGCTAGGTAGTCGAGTTCCGGTCAAAAAGTTTGCTGCAGGGAAAGGCGGGTCCGGAGGGTATACGCCCAATCCCTTCCCCAGAAAGTTGTGAGTTCCGCTCCGCTGAACTCTCTATTGGCCCTAACCGGCTCCGCGATCCCACCCACACTACAGTGACGGACGCTTGAGAGCGATGCACTGCGCCCCGCCGGAAGTGCTTCCCTGGGCGGAAGCTTCAGAGCGCAATATAGCGGAAGTGCTTTCTTTTCCGGCCTCTTTGGTCTCGGCGGCAGAAGCAAGATGGTGAGTGGTTTCCAGGGGCTCTCGTCATCGGCTTTCATCCTCACCCCCTGAGCTGCGCCTCATGCAATCCGTGGGGGTCTTGGAAGCTTTCGGATAAGAGTAGCCGGTCGGCGGAGAATGCAGCTTTCAAGAGGCACGAGAATGGGGATGCTGATGTGGGGATGCTGAGCCTGCCGTCGCGGAGCTGCAGCTGCCCCAGGCCCCTTTCTTCTGTCTGACCTTTAGGGAGCCCGCACAGCCCTGCCCGCCCGTGGGAACTGATGGAAGAAGCATGGTTTGGGGGTATTTGGCTCTGTAAACAAAAGAATAGTTGGCGACAGTCCCTGGGCAGGGGCTCTTAGATTTTGGAGTAAGAGTAGGTAGAAAAACCACGTTACCTGGTCTTTTGCCTTTTACTTTTTTCATTTCCCTTTTTAATAGTGTAGCATTAGGTTTCGAAACATGGCAGCCCTTGCAGGGGCTTTAGATGACGTGAAATTCTAATAGTGGTCATCTAAACAGTGTCAGCCCTTGTGATTGTCATTAATTTATATCAGTAGTTACTTTAACTGGAAATGTTGAACATGTGTATAGAAATGACTAGACTTAAACATTTATTCCCTTAACTTGCAGACGAAGGGAACGTCATCGTTTGGAAAGCGTCGGAATAAGACGCACACGCTGTGCCGCCGCTGTGGCTCTAAGGCCTACCACCTTCAGAAGTCGACCTGTGGCAAGTGTGGTTACCCTGCCAAGCGAAAGAGAAAGTGTAAGTTAATTTTTTTTTTTTTTAAGATAATTGGAGTGCTAAAGCTAAAAGACGAAATACCACCGGGACTGGTCGAATGAGGCACCTAAAAATTGTATACCGCAGATTCAGGTAACTTTTTATGTTTCAATTATAGGTGGGTCTATGAGCTTTTATAACAGTTGTCTCAACTACCCTGGTTTTTGGGATGAGGTGTTGCTAGGATCCTTTTTCTTCTGCCACCATAACCTTCAGATCAGTCTTGAACTTAGAAATCAGTGAACAGTAGTACGCACTGAATAGGCTGGAGTGTAGTTTGAGGTAGACTCCAGAAAATGATGGCATTTATTCACATACCTACATTTCATTTTCCTGCCAAAGTTTGTTGAGATGATAGTATGTAATTGAGGCCTTCAGTTTTGTGGCTTTGGGCAAGTCTGCTTGCTGTAAAACACTGTTGTACTTAAAGAGAGGCCTTAGAGTTTTAATTTCAGCCCCAGCATAGTCTTACAGAGAAACTGCATTTTAGTGGTAGCAGTTGAGGGGTGTAAGGCCTCAATTGAGGTGATTTCTTTGTTGGGGACTGAGGTTGTCCTGTGCAATATAGGATATTTAGCAGAATTTGTGATCTCCTACTCAATTCAAGATCTTCACATTTTAAAAGACCACAAGATAGTTTGGGGGCTGGAAACAACACACTTAGATGTATTTGTGTGCTGGACTGATCTTTGAACTTAAGGCCAATATATAGTAGTATGGGCTTAGGGTTCAGTGGTCTGCTAGTCTGAGTTAAGAGCATGAATTGAAGCTAGTTTTAACCTGTGTGTTCCTCAAAAGATACATTTCAAGTAGATGTTAAGTGAGTTAAGATGTAAAGCATAGAACCCATTTTCCCAAAACCTTAGGAATCATAAGTGGTGGGGAAGTACTGATCACTACAACCAAATATGGCGCATTGGCTATTTTGAAGCAGAGGGAAGTTATTAAAATACCACAGCTTATCAGTGATGTTCTAAAAATAAATGTCTGAACTTATGAATTCAATATTGATTTCACCATTTAACTGAGATAAGCTCATAAAAATATATTTTAACAAAGATTGAAATGTATACATTGACATTGCTGAGGTAACCATTCTTGTCTCTAACACAATGCAGGCATGGATTCCGTGAAGGAACAACACCTAAACCCAAGCGAGCGGCTGTTGCAGCATCCAGTTCATCCTAAGGATTTCAACAATTAGTCGCGCAATAAATGTTCTGGCTTTTAAAAATATCTGGTGTGCTAAGGTATTTTTAATAGGCTTGTATCAGTGATTTACATAGTTTTGTGAATGCGGCAACTAAAAATCAGGTTTACTTGTTAAGCGGCTGTTTTGGAACACTAACTTTGAACTGGGTTGTGATACTGCTAAAGAGGACCAGGCCTTGACAAGCAGAATTCTAAGATTTCCTTCAAGCAGATGACATTAAGAAGTAACATCTGTGCTACTCTAAGGACTATGTTATCTAAGGTTTTTGTGGCATGGTTGGCTTTGGATTACTGGTGAGAACATGAAGGACAGGAGTTGAATGAATTCCATTTTGGGAAGGTGGGGTTTTTTTTTTTGGTATTATATTTGCTTTACAATGTTGGCATTGGTTTTTTACAGGAAAGTGATTCAGCTATACATTTTTCTTTTTCGGATTCTCAGGTGATAGTAACTCTTGGCACCCAGTTCGAGGCTGTGCGTGCTTTTTAAGCTGGTCAGCTAAGTGAACAACTAGGTATGAGTCAACAAGAAAGTTTGTAGGGCCATGTGCAAATGCAGTGGATTGAGCAGAATGTAAGGGAAGGCCAAGTATAAACTCGTAGGCTAGTAGAACTTTTTTAATCCTCATCTAGCTGATCATTGACTTTTCAGGGCTCTGAATATTTCTGCCTTGCTTTCTGGTGTTTCTGCCAGACAGTTTTTGAAGTGAAGATAATACTAACTTTGTTGGACTGGTGAGAGAACAGAACATTAATTAAACAGCACAAGTGTTAGAGTAACTAGCATAAAATAGCAATGTGGCCAAGCTGTGCTGTCCCAACTTCTAACTTCCCATTTTGTTAAGAATTTAACAACTTTAATCTGACCTTGAAGGAGTTTTTATGATCATCACTGCCTCCACAACCTTACCTTTAAAAGGTGCCCTAGAATGCATTCCAAGATTAATTGCTCTCTTGCTTTTTCCCTTAGCTCCTAACTCTTTCAGGTCTCAGCTTGCGTCTACAGGAGCCCCAGCTGATCTGAACCTATATTTGGTTTCCTCCCAATATGTGTGGTGTGATATAATGACTCTGTCCTACTTTTGCTGCTGTTTGCCATTGAGCTGCTAAGTGTCTCTGACTGCAACGCCGTGGACTGTATTCCACCAGGCTCCTCAGTCCATGGGACTTCCCAGGCAAGAGTACTGGAGTGGGTTGCCATTGCCTGTGTCTTCTTTGGCAGGCAGATTCTTTACCACTGAACCACCTGGGAAGCCCTATTCTACTTTGTTGTTTTGTCCACTAAATCTAGTCCTACCCTTTGTGACCCCAAGGACTGCAGCACCCTAGGCTTCTCTGTCCTTCACTGTCTCAGTGGAATTTGCACTTACTTTTAATTGAGTGGGTGATGCCATCCAACCATACCCCAGGGGTGCATAGTAAGAACAAAGTTCCTGTGTCCAGTTGATTACATTGATCATGTGATTTTTTTTACTGGTATACCTGTGCTTATTTGTAAGCTGGAGGTCTAACTAACTATGGGCTTCCAACTTAAATATTTGAAGGTGCTTTTACAGTACTGTAGCCTAGTTACTATAGTGGGTCAAGTATTTGAAATTGCTTTTGACCTATAAAAATAGTAATTTTATTTTGGCTTGAGTACTGAATAATCTGACTTGGTGTTAAGATCTTTCTGAAATCTTGCAGTGTTACTAAAGGTTGATTACTGGGTGGTGAAGAGGCCCATTAAGATAGGAAGTATCCAGGGTGGAATAAATATAAGGCCTTGAGTTAAGTAGGTGCTGACCTGAAGACATGAAATTTCTAAATCCTGGATCAGAAAATAATTGGCACAAGAGGGGTGGCATGAGAGGTAGACAGTGATGCCTTAAAAAAGGCCTGTGAGTATAAGGTGACTTAGTCCTTGTTTGCCAGTGCCTGTGGCCTTGACCATTTGGGTTTCAGTGGGAAGTTTCTCTGATAACATGGAAGTTGTAAGACCCAGGGAGAAGCAGTGGGCTAGAGATGGAGCTGGTTAACACATTACAGACAGGTGGGTTCAGTTTATTCAAAACTAGTTTGCAGACAGTTCATACCTGACTTAACCTCATGATGTCCTGAGGATCAAAGTTGGTTTGGACAGTGGATCTCCATCTAACAGAAGATGCCTGAGGCCAGTGTCACAACTAAGGGATTTATGTTTCTTGGGCAGGGGGAACTCGGGAGCGGTAAGACCCAGGAGTGTATTGTTTTGTGTATGTGTTTGACCTTTCAGTCACAGCTACTGTGATTTTGTCAGTTGGAGAAAATATCAGAGGTAGGGGTCTTGGATGTTCTAGGGGGCAAGGAGTTGGCCTTCACTGAGGAATATAAAATGGAAGCAACAGGAAGAAATTGTTAGGTGTTGTTGATGTCTGGGATACTAGAAGTATCTTGGAAGAACTGAGTAAAGCTAGTGGCAGCTGAAGTGGAAAGCCGAAAGCCTAGGCTGGAGATTTGCATTTGGAAATAATGAACATTGAGTTCGTGGGAACTGATTTAGGGATTAGAATGGTGAAGATAATTTAAATGGAGGTATAAGGTGATGGTGAAACCTGGTAGGCATTTAAAAATGATGGGAGATGGAAGAAAAGGATTGTCTATTTTTCTCTCTTTAAAAATTCAGTTTCTTGACTCAGTAATGGTTGAAACCATTTGAAAAATACAGAAATGCTAGAGAGAGAAGACAGTGTAGAGAGGCACAAGGAAAGGTTTGGGGAGATGTCCTTAGACAAGAGGGATGAGAGTGGTTCATTAATTTGTTCAGCATACATGTGATGAGTGGGAACAAAAACCAACGTGGTTGAAGTTGACTCCAGTCATTGCAGAAATAGCCTAGGACTAGGATAGCATTGAGTCCCACAAACTTAAGTGTCCTGTGGGACTAAGGCCAAGGAGGAAAAGATTTTAAAATTAAAAAAATTTAATGACTCCTGGGTTTGGAAAACTTAGTTCAGTGTTTACTTTCAATCAGCCTTGTTTGAATAGAGCATCAGGAATAAATTCAGAGGTTCAGGGGTGATTGGGCAATAAAGAGTTTAGCTTAAAAAGTACTTTTGGAAGGTTACCTAGTTATTCTGTAGTTCCTTTTCATTTCTATTGATGATACAGTGCCCCTTATGAACCAGATCTATCTGGTGACCTCTGTGTGCCAGGATGGGAGTAGAGGACCCATTAGAAAGGTGGTTAAGATAAATATGGAAATTCCCTGGTGGTCCAGTGGTTAGGACTGCGAAGGGCCCCAGTTCAGTTGCTGGTCAGGGAATCGCAACCCTAACCTTCGTCAAGTTAAATGTTTTTCTCAAAACAAAAGGTATTTCATAATCTTAACAGAAGCATAGGTCGGAAACTATCAAACTGAGAAACTAAGAATGAAATGTGGAGCAAAAACTTATGTGTATGGTAAGGTAAAGGGATGTCTTGTCAAATAACCAATGAAAAAATGGTTCTCATGTATGTGAGTGGTCTATAGATTACCACAGGCATGGTATGTGGATTGAGATTTTATTTTTGTGTGTTCGTCTCTGCAATGGAGATATGCCCTGATGCCCCAGGATCTTTTTTTTTTTTTTTTTAAGATTACTCAAAGACAAGAAAAAATACCCTCCAGTCATGATTAGTTGTAAAAATAGTTTTATTTCGCAAAGAAATTTTCGGTTCTGTGTTATAGTCAGACTTCAAAGTTGACTTAACCTTATCTTTCAGCTTGGGCCTCTTTTGGGCTGAAGCCTTTGGAGACGGGGGCATGACCCCTCTGATCTCAGTTTTCTCCCTGAGATCAGCGGCTTGAGAGCTGCAGTTTCACTCAATGGGGTTAAAGAGTAGACCAGGGGGAGTGGCGTTTCCTCTTTCTCTGACACTTCCTCTACTTCTGTGGGCCCTACAGAGAGGATCCCAAGCTCTCCCTCCCTCCTGAGTGGCTCACATGGTCCACAGGAAGAAAGTTTCCTAGGTTTAGAGCTAGAAAGTAGTAAAACTACTCTGAGAAGGTTGCATTAAATACTTAGAACTCAAATTTCTTTATCTTTGATTTGGCTGAGGATTCTAAAAGCTGTGACCAGATGTGAGCCACTCAGGGAGAGTGGATAAACAATAAGATCCTACTGTATAGGATGGAGACCTGTATTCAGTATCCTCCAATAAACCATAGTGGAAAAGAATATAAAAGGAACATATGTGTAACTGAATCACTTTACAGCATAAATTAACATTGTAGACCAGCTCTAGTGTTGGCGACTGTCATGTTCGACTCTGCGATCCCATGGACTGTAGCCCACCAGGCTCTTCTGTCCATGGCTATTCCAGGCAAGAATATCAGAATGGATTGCCATTTCCTTCTCCAGCTGCAGTTTTTAAAAAGCTGTGACCTGGTTCTTGGATACATTTCATGTGTGTGTGTCTGTCTCCACGCTTCGTTAGTCCACTGTGTCTGACTCTGCAACCCGTTGGACCGTAGCCCTCCAGGTTCCTCTGTCCATGGGATTCTCCAGGCTAGAATACTGAAGTGGGTTGCCGTTTGCTACTCTAGGGCATCTTCCCAACCTAGGGATCGAACCTAGGTTACCTGTGACTCCTGCATTGTAGGCAGATTCTTTACCTGCTGAGTCTGTCTGTTGTTGAGTCACAAGGTTGCAGCACACCAGGCTTCCCTGTCCTTAACCGTCTCCCAGAGTTTGCTCAAATTCATGTCCATTGAGGGGGTGATGTCATCCATCTCATTCTCTGTCACCTCCTTCTGCCCTCAGTCTTGCTCATTATCAGGGTCTTTTCCAGTGAGTTGGCTCTTGTAGCTCAGTTGGTAAAGAATCCGCCTGCAGTGCAGGAGACCTGGGTTCAATCCCTGGGTTGGGAAGATCCCCTGGAGAAGGAAATGGCAACCCACTCTAGTATCCTTGCCTGGAAAATCTGATGGACAGAGGAGCCTGGTGGGCTGCAGTCCATGGGGTCGCAATGAGTTGGGCACGACTGAATGGCTAACACTTAACACTATCAGGTGGCCAGAGTAT